AGAAACGCCTCACCCGTGAAGAGATGCGGGAACTTGATGGGCAGGATCACAGCCTCTTTGAGGGCTTCTTTGGCTCCTTCAAGACCAGCTACATCGTTCCACTTCACATTCGGCCGCTCGATCACAATGGCCCCTACAAAAAAGTACGGGGTCTTCACAATGAGAAGCCCATTCTTCACATTTAACTAATACTTTGGGATAGTTAGTGACAAAAGATTACTGAAACACTACTAATGCTAATTACAATGGTGGTGCAATAGCTTGGCTACTGAGGGAGAAGCTGGCAATTCTAATCCAATCAGTGGCCGGGCAATCTCTTGTTGAGACTAGAGAACCTCAGGGGCACCTGCACCACTCAGAGAACCCAAGGGGCAGTTCTACTGTGTCACACGGGTCACTAGGAGAATGACTTAAAGGCACCTGGCAGTAACAGCAACATTAAATACTGGACAGTTTAGTGGATGACTGCAAATTTTTAAAGGAAGGGCTGTTGGAACATAGAATTAAAACACTTGTGCCTTTACTTCCAATCATATAAATTTATATTTAATTATCTATATCAAAGGTTACTGAGTATCAAAATAAACAAATTAAAAAAACTCAATCATAAGATCCAAGCTGAACAATCAAATAACATAAAGCTATAACCAAATGTGGAAGTAAAAGACTGTGATAGTCTGCCAATAAGCCATTTAATTAAAAGACAGACAAAACACTCTGCTAAGAAAGGGGGGGACCTCTTTCCTGGTCTAGCGTCATCCTGAATTTCCAGATAAAACTCCTCACCTATATGCCTGAAGATCTGCCTTTTCCTTATCTCTGGCTCTTATCAGAGCAAAGGGAATTTAAATAAAAAGATCCTGCTAAAAACTGCCATCTTCAACAAATGTACTAATGTGCTTGACACAATGGATGGATGGATGGATTGTGATGAGTTGTACAAGCCCCCAGTAAAATAATTAAAAAAAAACCAAACTGCCACCTTTTAAAACATTAATGACACAATTCCATTCTCACTGTGGAGAGGGGGAGGGCAGGGGCTAGAACAGAACCTAAACACAGACAGAACCTGGCTTCTTGTCTAATGATGGCACTAAGTCACTTGGCACAGGCCACTGGGTCGCCTGAGGAGGACGTACAGGAACCCAGGGTCTGCTGGCCCAGCCCTGGCAGCAGGTGCAGAAGTTGTTCAAAGTTCTGTCCAGGACCACATCCACCACTGAAGTTTCTGGCAGGTAAGAATGTGCTCAATCCTGCAGGGACCGCTTTCTTATTATGGCGCCCTCATTACCCTATTCCCCTGGGCATCCCAGGGAGCTTGGGAGGACACAGCATCACCAAAATGAAGAGGATGGCTGAGTAGAGGTCAAGGCCTGGCCAAGCCTCCCTGAGATATGTGAGGGACCTTCCAAGAGCTCATTCCATTTGCCATGAACTTTGTGAAGCCCTCCGGGGCCATGGAAATACTTCTCAGTCATGCATTCTATTAGTTAAGATTCAAATGAATAAAATTCATGTTATTGAAGTATGACCAAAATATTCAGCTGGAAAAACCACTAGCTACAATATCAAATGGCAGTGAAGTGAGAACCATGGAAGAAACCAGTAATTAAAGGGACGCTTTCTTAGATTCAGAAGTACCATCTTTCATGGAGCCCCTAGAATCTGTCAGCTGTAACACTTTGCAGCTTCATATTGTCATTAACGTCTTACGAGCCCCGATGGAAATGTTATTCACATCCATTTTAGTGATGGGGACTCAATTGAGTAGGTGGGTCACTCGTCCAGGATCAAATGGGCAGCGGATGGATCCTGGAATGGAGTCCCGATCTCAATGGTGCCAACACCCACGCCCTTCCCATCATGCCTTTCTACTACCATCGAGCAAAATAAAAAGGGCGTTGGAGGGGGTGTCAGGTTAAAAGGGAGCTTTGAGAGGCTATAGGGGGCGTGGAGGGTAAAGTGGGGCTCGCAGAGAGGAGTGCACCGGCACACTGAGAAGTTGGGGGGGGGGGACACAGGAAATACACCACCCACAAAGAAGCCAAACCAACAGCAACGACAGCCATGTGCACGTGCTCGTTCATTCTGTTGCTCTGACAGCTGCTATCACAGTACCAACAGATGGTGTCATGTGCTGACAGTGTGAACGCTACCTTCTGGAAGGGGCAGACGGATGAGAGGGAGCAGGTGACTGAGGGCCTTTTTATGGGAGCTGTAGGATTTTAGTTCATGAGCCAAACCATATTTTTAGTACACAAAAAAACCGAATGAACCAACCAACCAACCACCAACCACCAGCCACCCTCACACCCTGGAGAGAAACCCTGTGAATGAGCTCCCAAGATAGCTGCCCGGGGCCTACGATGTGTCCCACACAGATGACTTTTCCCAATAGACTTAAAAACGAGACTCAAAGCAACCTTGGAGCTGGTTCTGCAGTTTCTTTTTTTCTGGATCATCAGATTCTCCTTCCCCATCACTGTCATTCCTAATAAAGAGAATGTGATATATTCAAATGAGTGATTGGTGCTAGTAGATAAAATAAGGCACAGATGAAGGAAAGATTAACCTGAGGTATTACCTGTTTAATTGGCAAAACGGTATTTACACGAAGAGGCATGCTTGTTTTACTATCATTACAAATAAAACATGCACACGCAGGTGAGCAGGTACATTCCTCATCAATACGGAATCAGGAGCAGACAAGGGCACTTGCTTGCACACGCCCCTGGCATTCCCACGTGTGGATGACCACGTCAGGATGAGCCCCACAGCTCACTCCACAGAGGGTTGAGGCGGAGTTACAGGGCTGACAAGCAACATTAAGAACAAGGGTGCCCAGTGTGAACTAGAACTTCTGAGGGAAAGCCAGGAGCACGGATGAGCTAAGGTGCCAAGGTTCACCAACCCCAGTTTGGGGGTTTGGAGGGATGAAGCTTCCCGATGAATAGGAACTGAGCCCCCAAAGCAAGAAGACCAAGCAGACCCTTCCTCTCTAGGAATTTAGTCTGAGGAAATCACTTCAACTGACTTCACGGGTTTGAGGAGTAGGACAGTCATGGCATCACTGACCCAAAGCATGAGAAGCAGAAATATACATTCCATTACGGCATGCGTTGCCACGTTATTCTGCCCACTGTCCCGTTCACAGGGGGAAAAATGACTCAATACCTCCTAGCAATTAAAAACATTTGTACTGTGGGCATCTGCTTTTGCAGCCCACCTCCCTGGATCCTTCTAGTGTCCACAGGGGGCAGTACGACCCACTCTGGTAAACAATGAGTTTCAGGGATTAGCATATGATTGAATAGATCACAACCTTTATAAATGATGTTGTAGAAGTAGCTTGTGCTGATGATACAATGATAAGCGAAAATAACCGACAGCATCATAACATGTTCTCACCTAAAACGAAACCATCAACCAAACCATACCACTGCCACCATGTCAAGTGCAACTCCTAGCAGCCACCGAAGACAGCAGAACTGCTCCTGGGGGCTTCAGAGACTTGAACCATTACAAGAGCAGACAGCCTCATCTTTTGCCCTAGGAGAAGCTGGTAGGCTTGAACCAATGGCCTGGTGTTAGCAACCTAATGGTTAGCCCACACTTCCACCAGGGCTTCTTGTAAATATAAAGGTGAATATAAACATGAGAGGTTGGATTTCAAAATGGGATTATCTTAAAGTTGGGTCATCCCAGGATAGTGGGCTATGGTTTTGCAGAGAAAGCTGTGGCAGAGGTCCTCCTGGTGGACCCCTCCCAGCATTCTGAGTGCCTGGCAGCAATAACCTGTAAACCCTACAGGCGTTGGGGGCAGGATAGGGCGTGGATGGCTGTGGGACCCACTCTGGAGAGAGCATCATAGGCTCTTTGGGCTAGACTGGGAGAGCTTCCCCAGATGGGGAGACCAGGCTCCTGGTGGCAGGGTATCACAGGAAGAATGGGGCGTCAGGGTGCCGAGAGGCAACAGAGTTTTTCTCAAGGTTTTCATCCCAACTTTGGAGGGCCAGTCTTCTAACAAACGTCCCAACTTTCCCATGAGCAAGCATTTATGGTCGGCCTAAGTGACAATCCAGTAACCCGCCAGGTCAGGCTGGGGTCTGACTTATTTAGTCTGCGCTACTGTGGCTGCTGCAAGTCCCTGGTCTCAGGTTATGTCTTGAACAGAACATAAAACCAGGAGCTTGAAATTTTTACTCTTCCCTTGTGGTAATATCCAGGAGGTCCTCAAAACACTGCCTCAGGACCTGTCGTTCCTGATGACACAAGGGATTGCTGACCCGGGCAGCTTCTACACCTGCAGATCCTGACCTAGCAGTACCACACCCCCTGCTGAAAGCCAGAACAGGTTCACCCCGGGCCAGATTTGTATTTCTTGAACCTGTCATCTGGAACCATTTCTGATACCAGACAGGGTCTGGTTAGAATCTGAACCCTCTGGTTAGCACAGAGCTTGGCATGCATCTAGTAGGTGCAGAATAAGCAAATTCTGCATCTCTAAGTGATCCGTTCCTTCATCTAGGGAGTGAGTCCAAAAATGGGGATTTGGTATTTATAAATCATGTGTTGCCACTCGAAAACAAACCTACCGATTGATTTTATACCAGTGACCCCACCTTTTACAAGGCTGAAGTTACTTTTCATACTGTCCACGTGGTTAGTATTTCCTAAGGACCCCAGTCAGAGGGTTACTTCCTGATCACTAGCATCATTTTAATGCCACTGTCACATAAGGATGGCCAGGGAAGGGGACTCCTTTCTCTTTCTACTAGTGCACTTCACAGAAGCTATTTGAACTTTACCAGCCCCTAAGCTTAAGGAGCCCTGGTAGTGTAGTGGTTACTCATTGGGCTGCTAACCCTAAGGTAAGTCGTTTGAAACCACCAGATGCTCTACAGGAGAAAGACTTGGCTTTCTACTCCTGTAAAGCGGTAGTCTTGGAAATGGTTATTGTACTACCCTGTTCGCTGGGGTCTCTGAGTCAGAATTGACTTAATGGCAGTGAGGTGTTTTCTTGGGTGGGGTGGGTGGTGGGTGGAGGGGGATCTCCTAGGCTTGCCTTAAGCCAGGGGCCAACAGACTGTTGCTGTAAAGGGTCAGACAGCCAATATTCTAGCTTTGAGGGCCAACCACTCAACTTCCTGTCATCATAAGGATGCTGCCATGGACATGACTAACTGAGGTTGTGTTCCAATAACATTTTATTTATGTAACAGGGAGCTGCTCAGATTGGCCTGTGGGTCACAGTTGGCAATGTGTACTTTTGATAAGACCCTGAGTTGACAAATTAAAAAATCAAGAAAGTCAATGACATAGAACATTCTAGAATACATACCCCTTGTCCTCAGCCGAACTCGGCTGCCCTTCTTTCACTGGCTTCTGAGGCTTCTTCTCTTTCTTCTTCAGGTACTCCTTCAGCGTCTCTGCTCTGTCCAGATACTCCGTACACTTTGCTCTGATGCTTTGCTTGGCTTTATCTCCCTGGGCTTCATCTAGAGAAGGGACATGAGAATCTTCCTAGGAATTTTACACAGGAATGGTTTAAACTCTTCTGAGACTTTTGTAAACAAGGAAAATCTATTTTGGTGGAGAGAGCAGAGCCTCCATAGCTTATCCCAAGCAAGCCCACGCCTGTGGAGTCGATGCTGACTCACGCAATCCCGCACCTGGCTTCTGAGATTGGGACAGGAGCAGACAGCTCATCCTCCTGCTAGTGGCTCTGAACTGTCAAGCTTGTGGTTAGCAGCTGAATGGCCAAGGCAGGGTGACAGCGGGGCTCCAGCAAAGCCAAGGCCCATCTACTCTTTTCTATGCCTTTCTTGAGTGGGGCCGGAGGCCGTTTGAGTCAGAAGGGGATCTCAGCAAGACAGCAGGGCACTTTCAAGGTGTCGAAGAGAAGAAATTAATATTCTGGAGGTTTTACACGCGTCTCTTCCTTTCAGTGTACAGAGATGGAAAATTCCCTGTCTCCCACAAAACCTATCATATGCCATATCATACGACCCCAAACCCACTGCCGCAAGTCCATGCCTCTTGTAGCAAACCTACAGGGTAAGCTGTACATCTCTACGGAAGCAGACTGCCACATCACTCTCTGTGGAGCGGCTGGCAGGTTTGAACTGCTGACTTTTCGGTTAGAGCCACTGCACCAGCAGAGATCCTTATAAATAGACCAAGAGAAGCATTATTACACGTTTCCAGTAGTGTCTCCCCCTTAAGTTTGACGTTGATGCATTCTCAGACCAACCTTGACAAAAAAAAAACCCAACAAACCTCTCTGAAGTAATTCAATGAACTAACTGCAAAAATTCTTTCTTTAAAAAGAACCTGAGACCTGGTGGCCTGCTGGTTACGTGTTGGGCTGCTCACCTGAAGGTTGGCGGTTCAGAACCACCACCTGCTCTGCAGGAGATGTATCACCTATGAAACCCTATTTGGGGTTGCGATGGGTAAGGACTCAATGGCAGGTAGCTGATGGGTTTGTTTTTGTTTACCAGAACGATGTCCTTTTTGAGAGCATAGGTGTGGCGTTAGGCTGAACATCGCGAGGGCAGGGGTTTCTCTCCCCCTTTCCCTCAGTTTCACCCCACCCCACCCTCCGCCCCCGAGGCCTAACACTTGCCTAGCATGCAGCAAGCACACAGTTCATACTTGTGGAATCGCCGAATAACTTAAACCTATCATATGTCATATCATATCAAATAACTGCGGAGGACACGAGCCAGTTCAGTCTCTATCACGTAGGTATACTACCTGTAAAATACAAATTCACTTCCACCAACTGGTGGCACGTGAGGACGGCAAGTCATGACGACAGCATCAGCAGCTGGGCCTGAGCACTTAAACGTCACTGGGAAACAGGTGCCTTTGGCAAATGGGTGGATTAGGAGTTCTGCTATTGTATTATGACTTTCCCCTCTCAGTGGCTTTAAATCAAAAGCAGTCGGGGAGCATACATTTAATGACGTGGAGGAAATACTGCACAGCATGCTGGTAGAGCTGCAGGGCTTCTTCGTAGTTCCCGGCCTTGTCTTCTTGAGCTGCTTTGCTAGCAAGGTCTATGGCTTTCTGTCGAAGGGAGAGCAGACCATTAAAAGCATGGAAGCCACGTGAAAGCTGCCATTGCCTTTTTCTGTAAAAGCAACCTGCACTCCCACCCACCTGAAGCCATATGCATTCAAGTATTTCCAGCTCAGTGCTCGCTTCCTAGTTCCAACATGGGGATGTCTTCACTGACACCCCCACAGGTGCTTCAAACTTAGCCAGTTCAGAACTGAACTGACTTTGCTCCCCAGACCCCACCCTGGCCTCAAGGGTACCCCTTCTGTGTTCCAGAACCAAGGCCTATTCGGACAGCTGGAAACCTGGGGGCAGGTCCAGCCCTCTTCTCTGCCTTCACTTCCTCAGGGAAACCCCTCACTGGCTGTTCTCCCTCCTTAGCTCTGCCTTGGGCCCTCACCACCTCCCCCTTCCAAGAACACCGCCTTCTAATGCTTCTTGAAGCTTCCTGTCAAGTTTTTCTTTAACAACCTCCTGGCCATAGTACTGTGTTGTTGAAAGCCATTAGGAGCCCCATCTCCATCAGAGCGAAGACCAGTCATCTTTGTGTGACAGCACTCTTTTTCATGGGCCAGGCCAGCCCCTTGGTACACTGAGTTTCACTCATGACAAACCACTGGTTCAACCTGAACCCATGCAGGCTGGGGACCTCTGCATGCAGTGCACGCCCACCAGGATTCCTCAGTCCCACCTGTCTCCCTGCAAAACTCCAACAGCTGCAAGACATGGTGCAGACCTACTGCTCCTGCCCCGAAGGGCCCAGCCGGCCTTTCCTTCTAGGTCTCACTGCCTTTTGCACTTCCATCCAGACACCACACAACATAACTGAGAAGCCAATGACTGAACCCAGGGGAGGAGTGGGAAGCCAGGTTAGAAGCAAGTTGCCAGATGAAGCCCTGAATTTAGAGCCAGCAGGCCAGAAGTGAGGGTGTTATGAAGCCTCTAGGCTTGTGGCTGGAAGCGTTGGGTCGACTTGGCAGTCTGGTTGACTGGGCCCCTTGGGCTCCTGAGATCTGGCACAGCTCTGAGTGGCTAGGCTAGAGGAAATGACACTTCAGGGGCCCAACGTAAGAGACTTGGATCTGCACTGAGGAATTTCCCTGACAATTGTATCATCTCCAACTTCCCCCAACCCTCTCCAAAGTTGATTCCTATTGGACTGAAACCCATGCTGGCTTTCCCCGCCCACAATGCAGTCCCCTTCCTCATGGAGAGAACAAAGCACAACCTTGTAGTCCACAACTGGTGTTCTAAACTGTCCTCAGCACTAACTATGCCTTGCCTTCGTGTCATATCTGGTAAACTGGGGATGACATTCATTTTGAGGAGTTGTTTTGAGGGCTAAATGATATCCCTTCAAACACCGAGCAGACAGTGAGCACCAGTACCTTTCTCTCCATCTAAGCCGGGATGGGGAATCTTTTTTCTTTTTAATAACATTGTTCAAGGGCCATACAAAATGACCAACTGAAAAATCAACCTGCTATATTTGGTCAAACCTTTAATGAACTTCGTCCTAATGTGATGGCAGCAAAGGCGGCGAAAGACCCTCAACGAGATGGAACGACACGGTGGCTGCATCAATGGGCTCGGGGGCAGGAACAATTATAAGGCTGGCACAGGACCATGCAGTGCTTCCTTCTTTTGCGCCTAAGGTCGCTATGGGTCTAGTCGAGTTGATGGCTCATAACAACAATGTGATGACTGGAATGGTTTCTCTGGTGGGGCGTGGGATGTTAGCTGGGACTGATTATTTCGAGGGCCTCATACAGCCTACGGGCCAGCCATTGCCCACCCTTGCTGTAAGCTCACACCACCTGTGTGAAACATTTCTTTTGTCCATGGAAGAGTTAGATGGGCCCCTTCTCTCTGCCCTCCCACTCTATCTCTAATTCGATGACAGCATCTGGGACATTATTTCAGAAGTTTGACTTTTGGTCATCTGCACTCCTCACTAGGTTACAAGCATCTGGCGGCTGGGATTTTTGCCTTATTCGGTGGGAAAATCATTTTACCCAAATTCCCTAGGTCAGCTGGGTAGGGGGACTGAATGGGCATGAGCACCTGTGAATTGACTATTAATAAAACGCAGGTTAGCCTTGCAATCATCCCTACTGGCCAGTGTCCTGTCTGGCTACCTGGTGGACTGCCAACCACTCAGTTCCAGCATGGTGCTCATCGACTGTAGCAGGAAACCGAAAATCTTACTAAAGAAGAAACACACCAGTGAATGGCTGAGTGTATGCAGCAGCCTGCCCAAACCACACGGAAAGCCTCTGGCGAGGGAAAAGCTGGAATATAACCAGTGGGCAACACAGCTAGTTGGCAAACCAAGAACGATGGCAAGACAGCCATCTGGAAAGAAATCATTTTTGGTCTCCAAAGGATCAATGATTTTACTGAATGACCCATTCCCCCCTAATACTTTCACTAAAAGGGTTACCAAAAGACAACTCTACAGTGAAGATGCGGGTATCGTAGATGAACACAGTCTTGTTGGAAAAGAGACACAAGTCAACGTTCCCTTATTCTTTACTCTGAAGTTGGCCATATGGTTGCAAGAACAATGTTTCCTTAAAGACCCTAAACCTGTACTTTCACTGTTTTAGTCCAATTTTCATGATAAAAAGACCCAACCAAGAGATCACCTCATTTGGGAGGGAAAAGAAAGGAGGGGCAATATTCTGATGTCTGATTAAGTAGGATCACTCTGAGTGGTCTTTCTTCAGGATCAATACTCCCGGGTTAAGGGGACCCTCCACTATTCTGCCCATTCAACGAATTACTATAGGACCAGGCCAGAGATTCAATACAGGGATTCATACTCAAAGGGACTGAGAGCACTGGGCATCCTGGAGGCTGTGACGCCTTAAACCCGACGGGAATCCAGATCCATTCTGGGGATGGCCGACACACATACGTTCTCTTGTCAATGAACACAGTTCCGCAAGGGGCTGTCACTGCCGTCTACAAATCTCAGCATTCCCAGGATACAGATAAACTTCCCGGTGCTCAACTGGGGAGGGGGCGGGGCCGGTGGAGACACCGGACGTGAAGACCTCTCTCTGATCTTATATATACATGTTGGGAGCCAAGAGTAGTGCCCATAAATTCAGATGCTCACTGAATACAGACTCCACCCTCCGATTCCGGGGCTGCTGCCATATTTCCTATCCCTGACCGCCCGAGAAGCCGGGCTTTGCTACATCAGCCCGAGAAATATATGCACAATTCTCCACGGACCCGGTGGAGAGCTCTGTAAAGAGTAGGGACTATAGGCGCGCTCTCCTCGCTCCCTGGGAGTCACGAGGCAGTCCGCCCCTCGATCTCGAGCTCCGCCCGGTGCTGTCCGAACTTGGTTGGAGACCAGACGCCGTCTGCCCGAGCCCGCAGGCTCAGGGGACCCCAAGCGCGGGCCGGAAGTGACTCTCCCCGGAAGGCGCCCACCTCCCACCTGCGGCTCCGCCCGCCCCGCCCTACCCGGCTGGCCCCCGGGCGCGGCCCTTTTCCTCCTCCTCTCCCCTCGGCTCCGGCTCTCCGAGGAGGCGGCAGAAGAGTCGGGCTACCTGGAGGTTGGGTGAAGTGGCTGCCATGGCGGAGACGCGAGGCAGGTTCTCCAGGGAGAGGAGCGCCCACAGCGGCGACGTCGGACCGCGCCTGGTTTCGCCGCAAACGCGCGGAGGCGGTGGCTCTCGGACCTTGAGCCGTGGCTTCCCTTCTGGAACTAGATCTGAAACCACAGCGCGATCCCCGAGCCGCCAGACCCTCCTCACAAAACTTCCGCAAACCCAAGCCCCTCCGGGCTCCCGTCCCGCCTCTGGGCGTGCACACTTCCGCCATCGTCATCAGCACGCGCGCTGACGTCACCGGCGACGCGTCCGCCCACAGCCCGCTGCCCGAGGCCGGGAGACCGCCTGAAGCTGCTCTAGGGCCGGGCGGAAGCCAGCCTGGGCGCAGGCGCGCTGCGATTTCCTTTATTTTCCTCACTTCTTAGGCTTTCAAGTTGTGGGTTCAAGCCCCTTCACCTAGACGACTACATGATCACTTTCTCTCTACAGCTTTTGAATGAATGAATGGGGGAAACCCACCCCCTCCTACTCACTGGTTGGAGTATGGATCTCTTACTATTCCTTTTCCCGTCGATTTCCTTTCTCTGTAAAATGGGGCGGTGACAGTACCGACATCAGGGTTCGTCTCATGTACTTGGGACCTGTTATCAGGAGAGACTGGTCTCTGGAGAAAGACGTCGTGCTCGGTCAAGGAGAGGGGCGTGCCGAAGGGAAGGGCCTCAGCACATGGTTGGACGCAATGGCTGTGATAATGGGCGCAAAGAACAGGCGAGAGGATGGCACAGGACCGGGCATCGGGCATTGGCAGTGTTTCCTTCTGTTACACCAGGGCCACCATGAGCTGGAAACCGGCCTGGCAGGGCACCTAGCATCAACCACCACCTCAGGCTTACATGCTGGCCTTCTGACTGAAAAGTCAGCAGTTCAAACACGCCAGTCGCTCTTTGGGAGAAAGATGAGGCTGCCTGATCCTCAAAAGATTTACAATCTCTGAACCCCTCAGGGGCAGCCCTACTGTATCCTGTCTGGTGTCTGTGAGTCAGAATGGACTCCATGGCAGTGGGTAGGTACCTCAGGGGTGAGACTAACCTGGCAGAAATGCCCCCTAAGGCACATGGCACCGCGATTGGCCTTCAGTAAGATCTCAGAGGAAGTGCTTGGGCTTAATTAACACCCTGCTTCTGTGCGCACGCATTGCTGGCATGCAACAAACATGTTTTGGATGGATGTCTACTGCGGCCAGCCCAAAGGCCCTAGGGATGCTAAGGGAGACATGGTTGTTGATTTGAGGGGCTTATCAGGGGAAGCCGGCTCCTCAACATCCGTTCTGTTTACAAGGATGGCTAGTGCTTTAGGTAACATCACACCAGGGATCCCTGATGGAACCAAGACTCACCCCTTTCCTCGGCCCTCAGTCCTACTCTTTTCATGGCTAAAGACCTCAACAAAACAAAAACTCAAAATCACTGCCATCATGTCAGTTCCTGGTCATATTGACCCAATGGGATAGAGTAGAATTGCCCCTTTGGTTTCTTGAGACTTTCCATCTTTACTGGAGCAGACAGCCCATCTTTCTCCCAGGATGTTTTTGAACCACTGACCTTGCAACCAACAGCTCAATTCACAGCCCACTGTGCCACGAGGACTGCCTAAACTTCTCAAAGGAGGGAGAAATCTGTGTCTAATCACTCCACCATTTAATTTACCACACACACACCACCCCCTGCATCTTGCCAGTCCTCCAGCATCTCAATCAGTAAAGCACTCTGCTTATTTCATAGACTCAGAGCCTCCTAATGCACACTGCCTCTCCTTCACTGTCTCCCTTTCTTACTCAAGAAGGTCACAATTCCCTCAAGTATCGGCTCCTTTTATCTCTCTCCTGGCTTCAGCTACCAACAGAAGGCAAATGGCTTCAGATCAAGGACCCCAGGTCCACCCTCTCCTCGGCCCAATTTTTACAACTGCTCCCAGAAGCCACCACAAACTTTTCTTGCAAGGCCAATGCAACACACCTCAAGCCAAATGAATTATCTTCAGCCCCAACCATTCTTCTCTGAATGGTTTTACCCAACCCATGGTTTCCAGGCCGAGCCCAAAGCTCGCTCTCTGCTCATCATCTACCTACCCGCCTTCCTTCTGCCCAGCCCCCTGTTCCCTTCCAATTACACCATAGGGATTGCTCAGCAGAGAGCCAGCACAGAATAAGCACTAATAAAGATCTAACCATTTGAATGACTGAGTCAAAGAAGTCGCTGGTTTTCTAATGGTTACCAGATTAACTTGATTTTACCTGAAGACAGGTGTGCAACCAGCTACCAAATTACTTTTCAATCTCTTGACATTTATCGCATCTGGTTTACTTCCAGCCCTCAACAGTGACTGACCACCCATGACATGCCAATCGTAGCCCGGGCATTTGTGAAACAGTTAAGCAAATAATCCACTGAGGTATTTGTGGGATGTTACCACAAATGAGACCAGGGCATCTGATTCCAGGCCCAAGGTCAGAAAACAGACAAGGGCTACAACAGAGATAAGAGGCACTGTGGGGCCATAGAAGAGAGCGTCCTCCATTCTCATCGAGCTGGTAGGCATTTTCAGGGGAAGGTGTCATTTCACCTGAACATCGTAGTTGCCTTTTGACAGAGGCCAGGCCATCTCAGCGGGAGGAAGAACACAAAGCCAAGGTTCAGAGGAGACACCCACCTGGCACACGTGAGAGATGGCTGCAGGATGGGAAGTGACAGTGGGGGAGGAGTCCGGAGTGGTAGGAGATGAAGCAAAATCGCACTAGTCAGCACTGCACGGCTCTGGGGACTTTGGACTTGACTCTGGAGGCTGTAAAGGTTGGGTGGAAGGTCTCCTTTTCTCTCTCCCTCTCTTCCTTCCTGGTAGCATTCGGATGTGGTCAGGTAATGGTTTTATGGAACTGAATCTGATCATTATTCATAGAATGGAACAGGGAGACTGGAGGCAGTAGGAGCTGCTCTTCAGAGACCAGAGGGTCCATGGAGCTACAGAGGAGCTCCGTGGACACAATGCATCAGTGTTCAGTTGCTAATGGAAAAGTTGGAGGTTTGAAGCCACCCAGCCACCCCTGCTGGCGGATAGACCCGGTGGTCTCTCTAGTCAAGGCTAGGGGCAGCCTAGGGACCCCCATGAGGGTGCTATGTGCTGGAATCAACCAATGACGCTGGTTTTATGAGGCAGAAGAGACCCCCAAATCTCAAAGATAATTTAAAATGAAGATTTATTAAGTCTTAAATGGGACAAAGCCAGAACAGAGACACATCGTCTGGATGAAGGAGATCCTTAGCACAAGGTCATAGTGGCACCCAAATTTTTACTGAGATAAACTCAAAAACCAAGCTCACAGCCATCGAGTCAATGCTGACCCATAGTGACTGCACACAGATTTCTGAGACTATAACTGTTTTCAGGAGTAGAAAACCCAGTCTGTCTCCTGCGAAGCTTCTGGAGGTTTCGAACTGCCAACCACGTGGATCAAAGCCCAATGCATAACCACTACAGCACCAGGGCTTTTCAAAAGGCCCTGGGAGGGCAAAGGAAACTGCCCCCGTAACAACGATGAGAAATACAACTTTCCTCTAGTTCCTAAATGTTTCCTTCCCGCTCCCACTACCATGACTCTAATTCGACCTTGCAAGTCTGGCTAGACCAGAGGATGTACACTGGTACAGATAGGAACTGAAAATACAGGGAATCCAGGGCGGATGAGCCCTACAGGACCAGTGGTGTGAGTGGCGAAACAGGGAGGGTAAAGGGAGAATGGGTAGGAAAGAGGGAACCGATTACAGGGAACTGTGTGTGACCTCCTCCCTGGGGGACAGACAACCGAAAAATGGGTGAAGGGAGACGTCGGACAGGGCAAGATATGACAAAATACCAATTTATAAACTATCAAGGGTTCATGAAGGAGGGGGGAGCGGGGAAGGAGGGAAAAAAGGAGGACCTAATGTCGGGGGTTTAAGTGGAGAGAAAATGTTTTGAGAATGATGTACAAATGCGCTTTACACAATTGATGTGTGTATGGATTGCGGTAACAGTTGTATGAGCCCCTAATAAAATGTTTAAAAAAACAACAACAACGAAACTGCCCCCAAAGTAGGGCTGGCAGGAGAGCAATAGATCACAGTTACAGGTAGGACTACAGAAGCAGGAGCAGAACTGCGACTGGGACATGTGCATGATGTTCAACAAAAGAGCTTACATGATTGGTCCAAGGCCTCCCAACCCAGGAAAGCAGAGCATCACTTATAACTATGCTACTTCCACTATGGTGGGCTCCATCAAGGACACACCCAGGAAAGTCCCTAAGGGAAACTGCCCCTCCCTGGGCTGGCTGGAGGCAATTCACCTTCCGATACACTGTGAAGACAAGATTGTTCTGACTCCTAGTTCATGATCAGAAGGAATTCAATGGCATCTTAATCCACATGCGGTCTTGGCAACTTGATTTTGGGGTTCCACTGACATCTGTAGCCTTCTACAAATGGGTTTCTCAGAATTTAAATTCTAATACGCGTGCAACAACAACAAAGCAAATCAGAGTGCTTGCTGTGGTTGTGTGTGAGTGTGTGTGTGTGTGTGTGTTAGCAAGCAGTTAGCACACTCAGCTGCTAAATAAATGTTTGGGGGGTTGAGTCTACCGAAAGACAAAGCAGCGATGGGAAACCCTCCGGAGCACTCTTCTGCTCGGACACACGTGGCCGTGAGTGGGAATCCACTGGATGGGCCACTGCTCATATACTGATTGTCATGAAGCCAAGTGGGATGTTCGCCAGTCCTGGAGCACAACCCCTATCTCCTTGACTCGTGGGCTTTTAACCTCTTTCCCTTAACTGCTTTCATCCCTATCAATATTAGTCTGGCTAGGCTACAGAAACAAATTCATGGACACTCTATGTGTGTCCGGGAGAACTTTTTATCAAAGAGTAATTGTATATTGAGAAAACATCCCAACCCAATCCAGATCAGGCCCATCAGTCCGATATTAGCCCATATTCTGATACCAATCTACGAATTCCTCTTTAGACTCACGAAACACATGCAATGATGCTGAATGTAGGAAGAGCACAGGCCAGTGGGTGGAAAGTCTCGTGGATCCAGTGGCCGTGTAAGCATCTCAGGGCTGGTGTGGGTCTCCACGTGGCTCCTCCAGCTCCAGGGT